TCCAGCATCAAAGAGAACACACGCACCCAGCTCTATGGACAACCAGCTGCTGGTAAGAGGGAGAATACTTAGAGCAAACACCTTGTGAGGAACTGAAGTGTATCTATCTTCTGCAAAAAGGCTCTGGGGAGAATTTTAAGAAATGCAGTGTAGTTATGGAAAGTCACACACTGGAAGACAAATGTGAGACACTGCAGAATCACAGCAAAAGAACTGGGACAAACAGCATCCATTCCTTCCAATTCAAAACTGAGACTGACCAAGACCAAGTTCTTGAGCAGATGACCATTCTTCTAAGGGCCTACACTTTTCCCTTTCCCTGCTACGTTTGTGTCTAACAAATAAGAATAAAGCTCCCGAGATAAGAAATATCTCACAATTGGAAGAGGCTCAAAGGATTCTGACATTATATGCTCATTTCTTTTTAAACTTCTGCACCAAAGATCAGTGAAGTGATGAGAGTCATTAATTTCAAAGGGAAAATTTTTAACTTTAAAGCATAGCTATCACACACTACCTCAACCAAGAGATCAAAGTTAACATTCACTAGTGATAAGACATATCTGCCTCATGTACGTCCCAACACGAGACTGAGAAGGGCACAACTTCATCGCCGTGGTATTCCTGCCAAAAAGCTTCACCTTCACTTTACTCATGAAAGGACATCAGACAAATCCAAAACATCAGACAAATCAAAACATTCTACAAAATAACTGACCAGCACTCTTCAAATGTATAAAGATCATAAAAAATAAAGAAAACCAAAAGGAGCTGTCACAGACTGGAAGAGACTAAGGAGACCGAGTACCGTACAGCAATGTGGGATACTGCACTGGGTCCTGGACAAGAAAAAGGACCTGGTGGTGAACCTCAAAGTCTCCAGAAACTGTCTGGTTTCGGTAACTGCACTATGGATGCATAAGATGTTAATAAAGGGATGCTGGCTGAAAAGTATACAGAAGCTCTCTGAACTACGTTAGCAATTTTTTTGTAATTCTCAAATTATTTCAAAGTATAAACTGTTTGCAAATCATTTCAGATAAACAATACACAAAGGTATGAGATGAATCACTCATTACCTGTAACATAAAAACAGGCTACATCCTCCAAAATTGTGCTTAAAAATTCCAATATTTGCGAACAGGGCTTATGCTGGAATAAACTGTAATTATTTCATAAAAGCCTGTAATTGTGATAACGTAGAAAATACAGTCATTTTCCTAGGGTACTGAAATCTCTCCAGATAAATGGCCTAATTTATTTTCCCCCTTAATCTTTTTTAATTCAATTCAACTTACATTTATTTAACATCTACTATGGCTACATAACTGCTAGAGCCTGATAATATTTTGATATATAAGAAATGAACATTTTAGAACACAACAGAGAAAAGCATACAGTAACAAAACTGGAATAATTTTTCACTCCTATACAACCTAGCAATTAATACGAACGCCTTTTTAGTGCAAATGTCAGTAAGATAGAGGACCCTCACAGCTCACGTGAATCCCCTTCAATAGTAAGTGGTTTTGACCTCTAGAATTATCTCCAAAAATTATCCTTGGAAATGCCAAAATGATTCTCTCCAAGAAACACTATATTTCTAGTCCTTTATTTTTTTTTTTTTAAATCATTATGGTTTTGGTGCGCTGCTATTTGTAACACAAATTTAAACCACCCAATTTTCGGAGTAGCAGGGAAAAGTTTACACTGGTATAAACCCATGGAGCTTACTCACTCTCCTAAGAGATCAAAGGTCACATCGTGTATGGCTAGGGGTGTCAAAGTGTGACCTCGGAGCCCACAGCTTCAGCATCACCCAGGAGGAGCTGGTCAGCAACGCAGATTCTCAGCTCCAGTCCACACCTGCTGAGTTAGAGGCTCCAGGCATGCTGAGCAGCTGTGTTTTCACACACTCTCCAGGTGACTCAGCTGCACCTTCACTTTGAGAACCACTGATGGAAGCAGAAAGACTGGTCTGGCAATCAGGAAGCCTGATTCTAATCCCTGCTCCACCACTAGTCTCTGAGAGATTACTCAGCTTCTGTGGGGGCTCAGCCTCCTTACAGGATGACCACGGAACTGGAACAGATCACTGCCACACGCCTCAGACCAAGATTTGATCGATCTAGGAAGGCAGTCCCTCCTATAAGGCCTAAAAGTGAAATGGCCACCCAGGTACTTCCCCACATCTTTCTTTTTCATCAAAATGAAACAATCTAAATTTCTTCTTTCCCTCAACTGGTCTCTGAATCACATTCAATATATCTAAAAGAAGGGGTGCCTGAGTGGCTCAGTTGATTAAACTACTGACTCTTGACTTTGGCTCACGTCATGATCTCAGGGTCCTAGAATGGAGCCCAGACTTGGTTCCACACTCAGTGGGGAGTCGGCTCCAGGATTCTCTCTCCCTCACCCACCTCACTCCCATTCATGCATGTGCTATCTTCAAAAAACAAACAAACAAATAAATAAATGTGTGTGTGTGTGTGTGTGTGTGTGTGTGTGTGTGTGTGTGTGTGTGTAAAATGTCTTATTTAGGTAAAATTGTGTTTGCTTTAGCAAAAGCAATACAAATGCTGACTTTATGGTTGCCTATTTATTTGAATAAACAAGTCTGTACGGGAGGAATTCCACATAACAAAATCTCCAAGAAATCCAGCTACTATAGACTGAATTGTGTCCTCCCCCAAAATTCATATGTTAAATCCATAATCCCCATTGTGATGGTATTTGCAGGTGTGACCTTTGAGAAGTACCTAGATTTAAATGAGATCATGAGAGTAGGGTCTCCATGATGAATCAGTGTCCTTATAAGAAGGGGAGAAGAGTCCTGAGTTCCTCTCTCTGCCATGTGAGGACACAGCAAGGAAGGGGACATATGTAAACCGGGAAGAGTCCTCACCAGGAGCCAGCACCTTGATCCTGGACTTCATGCTCAGAGCTGCGATAAGTAAATTTCTGTGGGCTGCGATAAGTAAATTTCTGTGGTTTCTGCTCTCCAGGCTATCCTATTTTGTTCTAGCAGCCGAGCTAAGACACTCACTCAAATGTCCCCTCTGGTATGGGGTTCTAACACACCAGGTTATAGCTCAGAAGAACTATGCCCCCAACCCTGCACAAAGAACATGGATGATCTGACCACAGAAAGTATTTAACAAGTTTGAAAATAAAGAATTTTAAAACGTATAGAACTAGACACTTCCATTACTGCATAAGAAAAACAGCTTAATTTCTTCTCCTGTTTGTGGCTTTATGAACTGGGATTCTTCTCACCACTGTGATACCTAAGAAACCTGTCATACAAAACCCCTTCTCTGAGATGTGGGGAGAGTCTAATTTACAAAGGTCAGAGAATTCTCCTCTAACAACACGAACCCAATTAAAGTCAATGTTGGGAGAAAGGCCCCATGAAGCAAGTGAATGCCAGCTAATCCTGGGCCCTAACTCAAACCCTGTATCCTGAGAGCCCTCACCCAGGCTGCTTCCCAGGCAGTCAGACATCCTTTGCTCTATACATCGCCACGTTAGCACTCTGGAAAACGCACTCCGTTTGTTTCTGTATCTGCCTCATCAAGCAGATCCTGAAGTCACAGTGCATTGCCAACACCAGCACCTACAGTGGTGTCTGGAAATAAACAGGGACCACTGGTGGCTCCCTTCACGTTGCTGAATGCCAGTGGAACTCTGTCCTACCCTACAGCTTTTCTGCAAATCCCAAATTATTCCAAAATACAGTTTTTAAAAACACACCAGTGGCAACTGCATTATCAGCAAGTCACACTTGCCTTACAGAAAGACCAGCTGCTGGAGAACCTTGCCTTACTGTTCGTCAGACATGTCAACAGGAGTTAGTCACCTCGAGTGTAAGGAACTTGTGGAAGAATGCGTAACTAACACTTGAGATTTGAATTCTGACACTAACGTTGGTCACGTTAATCTGGGTTTTAAGTGGAAAAAAGTGAAGAATTAATCCGTACTCTAGGAGACTGCTGTGCTAACTGAAGCATGTGGAGTACACACCAGAAATGATGCTCTAATCAATGCGTCGGTGCCCTTCCCCGCCCGGGGTCCCTGCTGGACCGAACTCCTCGCCGCAGAACAGGTGCGTACGGTGACTAGCCCCACCAGCGCTGGCTGTAAAGTTGCAAGGCCGTCACCATCAGGCCTATGACTACCTATAAAATAGAGAAATCCTACACGTTTGTCCACGGATGCCCTTCCCATTCTTGAACCCCCCGGTGAAACAGAAGGGCTCTTCACAACTCCTACACCCCACAGGGGTCCGGAGCTCCTGGGCCACCTCCACCAGAACTAATCTCCAGAAAACGGGCTGGCACACTCAGGGCGTGCTCTCTGGCTAGAAGAGCTGCGTGTCTACCAGAGCAAAACCCGCCGCTGCAAGCAACCGTGTGCCGCAGCCCGGGCCTCCCCCTGGCGTCCGGAGACGCTGACCGCGAGGGGCCAGGACCCTCCAACTGCAGTGGTGCTGCTCTCGGTCACCAGCTGCCCGCCCAGCGTCCTTAACGGAAGGAGGCGCGAGTGGCAGCGGCCCATCGGTGCATCTGGAGGTGACCTGGGCGTGGGCGGGCGCAGGAGGAAACCACCGCCCAGACCATAAACCGACACCTCCGCAGCCCCGCGCCGGGGCAAGCCGGGCGGTAAGAAGCGCCCCGCTGCGTGCAGGGGTGCTGACAGCCGAGCCCGGCCGCAGACTGCCGCACAGCGAGCGGGGGAGGGCGGGAGCGGAGGCCGGGCGGCGGCCAGGCCGCGGGCGGCGGGCGTGTGCCGGGCGAGGCTGGGCGGCGTCGGGAGAGACCGGCGAGCGGGGAGGGGCGGAGGCGGGGGGAGGGGGGAGGAGGAAGAGCGAAGGGCCCTGGCGGGGCTCCCGGCGCCCAGCCGCCCGGGCCCGGGCCCTCAAGCCACCGCCCCCAGGCCCTGCGCTGACGCTGGACGGTCCCCGCCTCCAAACCCCCCGCCCCGGCCAGAGAATAACTTACCTGTTTGCCGACGGAATCGCTCCTGCTCGCCTCTCTGACTGACTCCTCCGGCTCACCGTCTTCCCTCTGGGAGGAAGGGGAGGGACTTCCTGTCTCTCCTCGGAGCGACTTCCGGCGGCTCCCAGGTCGACTCCGTGGTGGACCGAGCGCCGGACACCATGACCAAAAAATAGGATCCCGGAACTGGTTTAGCGAAACCCACATCGGGTTCCGTGTCTCTGCCCCGAGTGGCCGGCAGACCCGGGTGCTGCCTTGGTTTCAGTCCATCAGCTCTTGCCGGAAGTCACTCCGAGTTAAAAGCGGAAGTCCACCCCCTCCCGGGCAGAGGAAAGCGGAAGGGTGGAAGAGTCAATCTAAACAAGGGGAGATATGCGTCAGGCTTGCGGGCCCGGCGCGTCTGTCCTGGAGGCCCCCCGGGATTTTCAGAGGGTCCAGAGCGGGAAGCCCCCGGCCGGTCCTGCCTCCTCCCTACCCCAGCCGTCCCCACTCCGCCCCTTCGCTCGCCATAACAAGCCCCGAGGGCGGCGACGGAGAGACGGACGCAGCCCGGCTGGTGCGGGAGGGCCAGGGCCTGCGCGGGCCAACCGCCGGTCGTCCTCCGCTTGGGCCCGGTTCGAGGGCCTCCCGGCGCCTCCGCGGCCCTCCTCTCAAGGGGCGAGGGTTTTGTGCTGGGCTGGGCGCGTGCACAGCTCCAGCTTCGGAGGAAAATTCGGGTGACTCCAGGGAGGGAATCCTCGAAGTCGCAGGCGCTGGGAAGCCACGAGCGGAGTTCCGACACTAACGGGGAGGCCAAGACGCTGAATGTGGTGGTTCGCCAGTTTGGCAAGAAAAGCTGAAAAGTGTTTGGTGCTTAAGACGTTCCCGCGCGGGCCGCGTTTAGAAACCTTAAGGGCACAGTATAAAGATGGTTCGAAAGCCAGCACGACGCGGGGTAGTAGTCCCCGCCCCCTCCCGCCCCTGTGCGGGAACGGGCGCAGACCTCCGGGCTAGAACCTTAGCCTTGGAAACTCACAGTCTGGCAAGGGAGACCGCAGCTTGGGAAGTGCAGTGGCAGAGACGTTGTATAAAGCAATGGGCAGGGATCCACCTTGGGGTCAGAGTGCGAAGATGCCAGTTTGCTGTTTGCCACCTGAAATGATTTGTATTTAGCTAATTTTAAGCAAATGGGATTTTAAAATTACGGCCTTATGATTATGGTGATAGGCTTTCTAAACCAGATCATCTTTCAAGGTCAAGTCCAGCTCAGTTCTGTTTTTAAAATGCAGATATTGGGTTAATGATAACAAGTTTAATATTTTTAGAGGGGCGCCTGGATGGCTTGGTCGGTTAAGCATGCCTTGGGCTCAGATCATGGCCAACATTTACTGGGTGAAAACATTCCTGGTAATAGATAACTAATAAACTAGATTCTTTCAACAAAGAGTCACTTGAAAATTCCTTAGAATTTACTTGAAAATGTAGTACTTACCATCTTGTATTGTCTGTTTTGACGGTGTTAGTCCTGGATGACATGGTGATACCTCTCTCAACGCCAGCAGTAGCTAGTGCAGTTCTCCATATGGATTAGGCATCCCGGTTGGTCTTTGGGTTATCGATCTACCTTTCTTATTTTGGGGGTTTAGTTAACATGTCCTCTTTCTTTCTTGAACACTGAAATAAAATTCAAGTTTATTTTTCATTTTTATCATCCATTATTTTGCTGAAACAGGTCTTTACATCATAATGTGACTTTAAGGAAGTCAGTTGGACCTCATTTTACTCATGTGTAAATTTGTGATGGTGTCTGTTTTCCCTAATTTTAAAAAAATGCAAGAATAATAGATTTCATTTCCTTCATACAAGGTGATCATTCACACTCAACTAGAATTTGGATAACATTTCATTTCTGACCCCTCTTTTTGCTTTGTAATGTTTTATTTTTACATTTAAAAGTACAAAATCTTTCGGTGTTTCCTTCAACCAAATTCTATAATCATGTGCTTCATTTTTTATGCATATTTTTCCAGAGCCATTTGAAAATAGATTGCAAGCATGATGGCCTTTTACCCCTACACATGTCAGTGTACATTTCCTAAGAACATGGATAGGCGCTTAGATAGCAATACAGTTATCAAAATCAAGAAATTAATGCTAATATGATGCTTTTATTTAATAAGCAGACCTTACTCATATTTTTGCACCCATTTTTTTATCTTGTTACCTTTATTATGTAATTTGGATTTCCAAAAGAGGTTACAAATGAAGCACAAAAGAAGTCACAGCAGGAGACCTTAATCTCTTTATATTAATAATTTCTTTAAGTGTTATCGATTAAAAAAGAGATTTCCAGAATGGATAAAAAAAGAATATCTTGGACCCATGTGCTGCTCACAGAGATGTTTGTTAAAAATTATCTCTTTCCATGTGTACTGGCTTCCATGTGTTTCTGATGGAGCAGAGATCATTCAGTTCTTTCCTCCCTTGCATGTTTCCCTATGTATGATGTCATTTTTCTCTCGATACTTTCACATTTTTCTCTTTATTTTTGACATTCAGTGATTTCGTTATGATGAGCCTCACCATAATTTTCTTCATACTTAACCCGCTTGGTGGTTTTGTGAGCTTTTAACATCTGTAAGTTTACATATTTCACCAAGTTTGGGAAACTGGGGGTTATTATTTCTCCAAATACTTCTCTTCCCCATTCTTTTTCTCCTGAACTCCAATCAAATATATATACATCTCTTGCTACTATATACGACTCACTGAGGTTTTGGCTTTTTTCTTTTGTTTTCATTCTTTTTTTTTTTTCTCTCAGACTTTCAGATTGAATAATTTCCGTTGATCTATTTTCTATGTTCCCTGATTCCTGTATAAACTTGCAGTCTTAAAACATTTTTTTCATACTACCCTGACAAGTGCAGCTGTTGCCCCTGATGTGACAGAGTGCCTATTCCCAGTATAAACAGAGCAACACGTGTGTCCCCTGATTCTTCTATGTTCTCTCCAGTTATCTGGTAAAAGCAGCTAGGGATTTTTTTTAATTTCACAGATTGCATCTTTTAGGTCTAAAATTTCTGTACAGTTACGTCTTTCTGTTTCTCGGATGAGATTTCCTATTTGTTTACTTTTGTTTTATTTTTTAAAGATTTTATTTATTTGACAGAGACAGAGGGAGAGAGGGAACACAAGCAGGGGGAAGGAGAGAGGGAGAAGCAGGCTTCCCGCTGAGCAGGGAGCCCGATGTGGGGCTCCATCCCTGGCTTCATGACCTGAGCAGAAGGCAGACACTTAACAACTGTGCCACCCAACGCTCCTACTTTTGGAAGGCATATTTTCTTTTTATGTACTTGAGCAAAGCTGTAATAGTTGCTTTGATATTTTGCCTGCGAATTCCAACATATAAATCATTTGGGGATTAATCATCATTAATTTTCTCTTTTTTCCTGATTGGGAGTTATGTTTTCCTCTTTTTTAACTGTCTAGTAATTTTGAGATGTATTACGGACGTTTAAGTAAATGTAGATATTATCAATTCAGTTATGTCCTTCTGAAGAGGTTGTTTGTGGTTGATAAGGATTTAACAGGCAGTTACTTTGGCTGTCCTCATACTCCACACTGTACCTCGGTTGTTAACGATGGCAGCTGAAACCTTCAGTTCCCTCAGCCTTAGCTGGGATGCTTGAGTCTGCTTCACACATGCATAGTTCAGAGGTCATCTGGCAATTTAGGCAAAGTGTACAGAATTTGGTGTTCTCTCTTTGTGACTCCTCTTTCCAGAACCTCCCTCCCCTCACTTCGCACTAGGGTAGTAAACCTGAGCTCTGCCTTCTGGTTCTTTAAGTGGAGGTTTTGTTTTGTTTTGTTTTGTTTTTAAAGATTTTATTTGAGAGAGAGAGAGAAAGAGAATGAGTGAGAGAGAGGCCACAAACAGGGGGAGTGGCAGAGGGAAAGGGAGAAGCAGGCTCCGTGCTGAAGAGGGAGCCCGATGTGGGGCTCAGTTCCAGGACCCTGGGATCAAGATCTGAGCCAAAGGCAGATGTTTAACCAATGGAGCCACCCGGCACCCCTAAGTGGGGTTTTAAATAAAGTTTAGTTGGCCTCTTTTATTTGATTATGACTATTTAAAGATTTTTTTTTTATTTGTTTATTTGACAGAGATCTCAAGCAGGCAGAGAGGCAGGCAGAGAGAGAGGGGGAAGCAGGCTCCCTGCTGAGCGGGGAGCCCGATGCAGGGCTCGATCCCAGCACCCTGGGATCATGACCTGAGCCGAAGGCAGAGGCTTTAACCCACTGAGCCACCCAGGCACCCCTGACTATGACTATTTAAAATTTGAAAGAAAGCATTGGTCATTTTTGGTTACTAATCCTTTTTGATGACTAATTTAACAGTGTCATTTAAAGTTCTAATTTCCTTTAAATTAACATGTTCTGCCATTACATTCAAATGCCTACCTACAATAACAGTCAGAATGTGCTACGAACACTTAGCCACCCACACTAGAATTTTAAATCTACATTCTTTTTGAATGCTGTTTTGGTGAATTTCAATGTGGGAGGTGAGATGATTTCAAACTTCACATTTTCTTTCATAGTCAAAGGCATAATTTTTCTGACATCTTTTTTCATTCTGAATAAGAAATTATACTAGCATAATGTTTTAAGTAAAATTTTTTCATGTAACAAAAATGTTTTTCTGTTCAATCTATCTAAACTAAAAAAGCCCAGAAGCATTTATTTACTTAACATAACTGTTAAGAAATTACAGTCATTATACCCACCAGCTGTTCTCTTCCACATCATGCTGGAACAGAAAGAGTAGATCACTTTGCTTCAGAAAATCTCCTTTATTTCTCTTTGAACTTCATCAATTGTTTGAGCCTTTGGACAGCTGAGCAAAATACAGAATATACCCAGCCTAGCTTCTGCCTCCCAGAGCTTGCTTCCTAAAAAGGAAAGTTCTTTTCAATGTAGTAAAGAGGAAGATTATCTTTCTTAAGTGTCATGAGCTCTACAGAACAGAATGTGGATGTTAGAGTTGGCCAGGGAAGAACAGAAATAATGTACAAGGAC